CCCCCCCCCCTACCTACCCACACACACACACACATTGGTCGGGGACATCGTGAAACGTGGACTACAAGACATTAAAACCGAGAAACATCTTTTATGTTTTGGTGTCCCTATACCTCGACCGTAATGTCAAGGTTCTGTTGTAAAGTTCTTGTATAGGAGGAGCTCATTTGAACTGGGACCCACTGCATCACCCCTGAGAGTCATTATACGTTAACGTGTGGATTAAACTTTATATTACTGAAAACTTTATTTTATTGAAAATTACTGGAAACTTTGTATTATTGGAAACCTCTCGATATGTTAAAGGCTTTTATGCTTTTTGGAATGATTCGAAAACAAATAAGCGTACTGCTTACATGCTTTGAAGTTTCCGATATTATTGCAAACTGGCCTATATTTTAACGCAAAAAAACCTGGCATTTTTATCTTATTTTGTAGAAAATCTGTCACTCTAAACTCTTCAGAGTAGAGGGAATTTCCGAATACCTACAATTAAAATCACTCAACAATGCCCCTCGCGCCGTCTCTGTTAATTTATTCATAGCATGTTAATCTGATAATGGCCCAACCACTTGCAAAATGCTTCCAACGGTTATGATATCGTGAAGAAGCTAGGCCTATAGTACCTGGGAGGATGAGTCTTTCGATTGTCATCTGTTCAGACACCTTTTGGACTTGTTTAGGCCTACGTTTTGTGGAAACTTGGCAACGGTATCCATTTCGTTCCTTGGAAGATTGGAAAGTGTTGCTTTTAGCATGTTTTGCTGTTCTATATTTTTATAGAATTGGTCATTTTGAGAGCACTTATACAAAATTAATTAAGTCATTTATATTTAGCAGCTCACATGGGCGTCGGTCATTGGTGGGGAACAGAGGGACAACTAGGTCCTCCCCCCACGATTCAAAGTAGGTGGAACATCATATCAATTGCCCCACCCAATTTTCACCAATCTTATATAGTTAAAACCCCACTTTTCAAAGCGAGTGGAAAGAACAACAACAATTACGAATGAATTTTGTCCGTTCACTTGTGCTCGGTTCCAAGTGCGGTGCGTATTCCTGACCAATACCGAGTAAAAACGCAATTGTTTGTACATTTCGTAACAATCTCAGTAACCACTCTATCGATTTCATGAGAGCAACGGTTATCAGAGGCAAAATTTATTGTGAAAACAATGTACTGCACCGTACGTTGTTAACATTAACCGTGTAAACCTATTGGCAAAGGGATTCGATTTCAGATTAATATCTTTAAGAAAATTGAGTTGGTCAATAGGTTCAGGACACTGATGTAGCGCAAGAATTTGGAATGAATCCTGTTGATTCGTTGCCTATTGGCAATATAATTAACAACAATAAAAACACACAGGTCTTTCTGATGGCAAACATTTTCGAGAGCCATATTGTTAAGTGTATAAGAAAAGTTGATTTAATTGCTTTTAAGTGTAATAGTATGAGTTTTACATTTGTTGTCGGGATGGAGAGACATTTTCCATCTGAGCGCCCACTGATCCAGTCTATCAAGATCTTCCTGAAGTCAGTAGCATCCTCAATATCATTAAAGATTTTATAAGTTTTAAGATCATCAGCACACATTAAATATTTTGATATTTGAATTGAAAAGTAAAGGATCATTAATATAAATAATAAATATTAGAGGCCCAGGATGGACCCCTGTGGGAATAAATAAATGTATTCATTTAGATGAGGTAAACGATGCCATTAAAGTAAAAAAGTTAGGATCATCTCCAGGAATAAATGGGGCTTTAATTGAAATGATATTAAATGTATCAAATTGGGTAATGATTTACATTAAATATTTTTCTAATATAACTTTTAAAACAAAATCTTTTCCAATGAGGTGGGTAACAAATATGTAAATTCAATCTATATTTTATATGATTGTAATAAAGATATTTGTATTTGTAATTGTGCAGATTTATAAAAAGGAGCGATAATCCCGACAATTACAGAGGCGTATCTTTAATCCCCATTCTTGGTATGTAAATGGGTAGACTTCATTTATATTAAATTTATATGTATACAAACGTAATACGAGACTGGTTAAAGAGTTTAGAAATGGATGACAAGATTATCAATAACAACTTAGAAAAACTGAAAGAAAAACAACTACAAATTTAATGTAAAACAAGCATTGCACAAAGAGAATTGATTATGGATGACAAATTCAAAAAGTTCACGTAATATAAAATTTTTACTGAATTATCAGATAAGCCTATGTGTTATTTTTTAAAATTTATTTACAAAAAAAAAATTAGATAAGAAAAATAATGATATGCCTAGTTATGCTATTATATAGTCATTGTTAGCGTTTTAGGGCTTTCATTAATGTAAGGAACTATATATAAATCTAAATTATTATTATTATCATTATTATTATGATTATTATTATCATTATTAGGCCTAATATTATTATTTTATCGAAGAAATTCCTTTGAAAACATTATGTTATACTCTTGTTTAAATTATTATAATCTGCTCAGATAATTATTTAATATAAATAGAAAATATTGACCAAAGAAAATTATATATAACATTTAGGTTATGCATATTAATAAATACCGGGTTGGTGGTGGATAGTTTTTACCATATTGTAGTTAAGTTATGTCGTTAAGCTTAAACTTGAGCATTAATTCCTGGCCCCGAAACCTTGACTCAGAAGTACCGGGTTGGTGTCCGGCGGGGATTGTTTTCCACCAAAGTTTTTACTATTGTTCAATTTATTGTATTGTGCTGGTTACATTTTGTTCGTTGTTATTGTACAGTACTTTTGCAGGTTGTTATTGTACAGTACTTTTGCAGAACCATATTGTAAAACAGCGGTAAGATCTCGTCTGTATATGTTATCCTGCCTAAAGATGTTTTAAATAAATAAAATAAAATAAATTAAAATAGAAATTGAGAATGGTAAATGGGTTTATAAAGACAAAAAAGAACGTATTATGTAAATTATGTAGAAACAACTACAACATTGGGAACGAATATTTTTTTACTTTAGTATTTCCTTGCTACGTTGAACTGAAACAATGCATCACAAATTTCCTTCCGAAGATAAGTTCATTAGTTTGTTAAAATCATAAACAACATGTCTAATTAAATTTTTTAATAAAGAAGTGTTTTATCAGTACAGTTTTTGTATTTTTCTTCTAAGGGCTCACACCCTCTCTACTTACTTAATAATTCATAATTTTATTTAACTCAAATAAGAAATAGGTAACAAATGGAATGATCTATCTATCAAGATACCTATCAGAATAACAATTCAATATTTTTAGAAAAAAAAATCAGTAGGCCAACGTTATACTTAAGATAATACAATAATTACCAACAATAAAAATAAATAAAGAAAAGAAAAATAAATAAATAAAAAATAAATAAATAACTACATAAAAAAGAATAAGTATATACATAAACAAGACATAGGCCTAAATAAGCAAATAAGTAAATACAAGATGCAAGTAGCTTAACGCAGGTGGTCGAGAGCAGAGAAAACAAGAGACGGATGAGGATAAGCGTGTAGCAATTGGAAGTCTGTTCCAGATGATTAGATGATGAAAGAGTGAATATTGGAATGCATTGCATCGAGCAGGGTGATGGTGAAGTGAGGGATGAGGTTGACATAAAAGAGAAAAAAAACCAACAATAACATTAATGTTATTATTATGACTACAATAATGATTGTAATAATAATAATAATAATAATAATAATAATAATAATAATAATAACAAATAGTAAAAAGTACTACTACTACTACTACTACTACTACTACTACTACTACTACTAATAATAATAATAATAATAATAATAATAATAATAATAATAATAATAATAATAATAATATAATAACACATCTCTTAATTTTTAGGCTATATGATGGCTATGTGCATATCTTTAAATTGCATACATTCTTTACATTACGTTACATTAGACCTCAGGCCTATATTACTGCTGTCAATTCGACTCACTTACACAAGCTTAATAATGAAAAATACGAAAGGCAAATTCGCGTTTCGCGTGCACCTAGTGCACAATGTAGGCCTATACAATAATTCCATATTGAGTACAGCTGATTACAATTCTCGTTAAGATTCTGGAAATTTAACGATTTTAAATAAATAGATTTATTATTTACAGGATACCATCAAATGAACCACAATGAGTTTAGACTTATTCCTCCATGGTTTAACTATCAGCAAAGTCACACACGTCCGAGCGGTAGGAGCACCAATCGCGTGCCTCGTATGTTTCAACCTGTATCGTTGATACGTGCAAATTGAATCTTACTTTCAGGAGTTTTTGAGCTCTGCTAAGAATATCTTGTCCATCTACTGGCTTCCCTTCGTATAAGTTAGCTGAAAATTTTAAAAAAAAATAATCAAGCAGATTTAAATTGGTGATGGAGATTCACGAACATATTGTGGCAAATCATTCCAATGTATTGTTAGAACCGGATAGAAAATTAAAAGCAGCTGCATGCAGAAATAGGTTAGTAACCCAGCTTTCAATTTTACTTAAAAGTCATTAAAAGGCACCTGAGAAGTCGGGAAATCTAATTTCCTGCCATCGAGGAATCAACATTTTTCCGACTCCCCGTTCTCTTTGGAGCTCATCGATTCATGAAAAAAAGAATATATATGCAACTACAGTATCTCATTTTCTTAATGTATATACACACATAGGCCTATTTACAGTAATAGGAATGAGAACGTTTACCTCCTTTTCATGAGGGGGAAAAACTTGAATTTTGAAGAACTTAAAAGCCATTAAAAGTCACCTACCTCAGAAGGCGGGAAAGCTCATTTCCGCCATCCAGGAATCGAAATTTTCCCAAGGGAGAACTCCCTGACCCTCTTTCTTTTTGGGGTTTTCGGAAAAGTTTTCACCCACCCGTAAAGTTCAACCCAGATCCGCCCCTACCGCTTTAGTCAGTATAAAACGTCCAATACCGACATAAGAATCAATGAATAAAGATGAAGGGTAGACTACACCTGAATGTGTGGAATGATAACTCACCCAGTGTGAGATGCACGGCTATTGCGTTGACCCCTACCGTCAGTGACCAGATATGTAGCGAATGAACACTTTCAACTCCATCAATCTCAACCAACGTGCGCCTTATGTTCGTGTAGTCCAAATTATTCGGTGAAGCTGAATTTTACAAACAAGATAAATAGTATCACAATTTAAAGTAGATAATTCAGTGTATAAACTCATTAGTCAACGACTAAAATGGATGTAACTGTGTTGCAAACCAATTATGTGTTCATCTATGCGGAACATACGTGGCACAATATATATATATAGGCCTATATATATATATGTATATATATTTATATATATATATATGATGTAGTTGGTTCCACGTATATCTCACAGATATATATAAGTATAAGCAAATACAAAAATATACGTTGACAGAATAGACATTTATTCAAGACGAATATTTTAGACAAGTCTTTGTCTTCCTCGGCCTTAGTCGTACGAATGCGAAATACAGAACAGATCAAGTAAAAACTGTAGGAAAGTAAGTAAAATAAAATCTAGGATGATAGGCTCGTGATGTAGCAAATGACAAGTATTAACTAATACACTTGGTAACACTTGAAAATATTGGCGGTAAAAATGGCCTGGCAAAAAACAGAGTGAAATAAACAAAATGTTGGTATGTCGACAACATCTGAGTGATTAATGTCATCGTAATATTGTAGTGACAAGATATATAT